CCATCCATCCATCAATGGTTTAGGGTGCCCTCATGCATCCATCCATCCATCCATCCATCCATCAGGGGTTTAAGGTGCATGCATCCATCCATCCATCCATCCATCAGGGGTTTAAGGTGCATTCATGCATCCATCCATCCATCCATCAGTGGTTTAAGGAGCCATCATGGATCCATCCATCCATCCATCCATCCATCGGGCATGGAAGGAGGCTTCAAGCATCCATCCATCCATCCATCCATCATGGGTTTAAGGTGCCATCATGCACCCATCCATCCATCCATCAGGGGTTTAAGGTGCCATCATGCACCCATCCATCCATCCATCCATCCATCAGGGGTTTAAGGTGACATCATGCACCCATCCAACCATCCATCCATCCATCAGGGGTTTAAGGTGACATCATGCATCCATCCATCCATCGGGCATGGAAGGAGGCTTCAAGCATCCATCCATCCATCCATCCATCATGGGTTTAAGGTGCCATCATGCACCCATCCATCCATCCATCAGGGGTTTAAGGTGCCATCATGCACCCATCCATCCATCCATCAGGGGTTTAAGGTGACATCATGCACCCATCCAACCATCCATCAGGGGTTTAAGGTGCCATCATGCACCCATCCATCCATCCATCAGGGGTTTAAGGTGACATCATGCACCCATCCAACCATCCATCAGGGGTTTAAGGTGCCATCATGCACCCATCCATCCATCCATCCATCCATCAGGGGTTTAAGGTGACATCATGCATCCATCCATCCAACCCTCCCTTCAGGGGTGTTAAGGTGGCTTCATGCATCCATCCAATCCAACGTCCATCAGGGGGTTAAAGGGACATGGGGCATCCATCCATCCGGGGCGAGAGCTGCGCGATAACACGCGCACGTAAGTTCACTGACTCAAACAGTATCACTCGCTCGCTGTCTCCCCCCCCGATAAAAACGTTACAATAGTAAGCTGCATCCTAGAAGCTGAAAGGTTTAATGCGTGCTGAGTCCTGTGCCGGGTCGTCCGGCGGGGCGGGGCTGCGAGGGGCGGGGCTAAAGCGCCGCGTCACGCTGAACTCCTTTACCCCCGCGCGGTGTTTAGAGCGAGTCCCTCCATCAGTGGCTGGATCCGAGCCCAGCCTCTCCGCTCATTGGACTGCGCAGCCGCGCCGCATAGTCAGCCCATGTGGCGTGGCCAGCGCGATGTGACACATTATAATTCACCGGAGACGAGAGGAGGAGGCTGTGAAGGAAACGCTCCCCTCACACTCACTGCAAACCACGGGGACGGACACACACACGTCCGCAGCTACACAACAGAGCACCGCCGGTAAGCTAACTCTGCTAAGTGTCGTTAGCTTCATAAGAACGTAACACAAAACTGTGTGTTCGCTTGTTATTCCCACCGGTGTGTCGCTGGGTTGTGTCCCGTCAGTCACGTGTCCTTGCGTTACACACCGGCTCAGCGGGACATCGGACATGTAATCCGTGTTTCTGTGTCTTCCTGGTGGACATAATTGATGTTCGTGGAATGAAAACCGATTAAACAGACTCGTATCCCGCATTGCATTGTGGGATGGAGAGCCTGGCCGGTGGTGTTCTGATTCACATGCTGCGCCCACCTGACCAGTGACGTCACGGGAGGCCTAGGTGGGTCCAGCAGGTGTCCCACCGAGCTCTGTGAGGGCTTTGCTGTGTGTTTGGAGGTTCTCTGGCACAGGAGACGTTGGTCCCACGTCGTGTGTTCTGACCCGATACCTGCACTCAGGTACACAGGTACACAGGTACACAGGTACACCGGTACACCTGTCTCTGCAGTTGTCTCCAGCCTGTCTGGTCTTGATGAGCTCAGCAGCCTGACATCCGGAATGCAGCCGTCCGCCTGCTGTGACAACAGGACGCGTTTTAGAAGCACGGAATGTAGATGAGCCGCCGTGTCGTAACCGCTCGCGTCACACAAGCGCAACTGAATGTCCCAAGAAAACTGAGAAAGAGCCGTAACACGCGTGTGCGGAGTGACTGTGATCGGGGTCAGCTGAGGCCGCGGCGTGTCCTCCTCAAGGTGCTACATTGCTTCTAATCCTCGGCTCGTGTGTCCTGCCAGATCCCTGCAGCTACAGGCCTCCGTCCTACTGGTTCGTCCTGCTCATGGGCGGGTTTGACCGTCGCTGTGCCGTTATCACGGTGCATTATGGGAAGTGCATATTTTCTCATACAGATCACACATTTCTCCAGAATGCTGTGGCTCCAGATCCCTGTGACGGAGTCTCAGGAGTGTGCTAGATGACGGGAGGGTGTCTACTATGAGACTCTGAGGCTCTGTCCCCAGCTGCGTGCCCATGGGCCCGTGGGCCCGTCCCTGGCCTAGAAAGGGAACAAAGAGCAGGCAGTGCAGCGTGGCTGTGCTCCGCGGCGTACACAGGGCTGTTGTAAGTGCTCTCTCATGCGTGCTCACAGGGACTCAAGTACGCGTGCTTCAGTTTCCACACATCACGGCTGACGTTTGGAAGCACTTGGCTGGGCTACATATTTCTCCTCCCATGTCCTCACTGGATCTCTGCACACGGGTTCCACTGATGACCGCTAGTCAGCCTCCGTATCGGCCCACTGCAAAGACACACGTGCTACAGATGCAGAAACAAAAGCCCACGTCGGCTCCATCAGTTTCAGCTGGTCCTGAGCAAGGCTAAAGCCTGTAGGACGGGGGGTAGAGGACCTAATGTCCCAGACAGGATCACACGGGGCCGGTAGGATGTTGTGACCGTGTTCTTGGCTCATCCATGTTCCACCTGCTTGTTGTTCCATTGACGTACATCCTCACGCTCTCTGTTCACAGTAACTCAGCATGGACGAGATCGTCATCGCAGGGATCTCGGGCCGTCTGCCCGAGTCCAACAACCTGGAGGAATTCTGGGAAAACCTCATCAATGGCGTCGACATGGTGACGGAGGACGACCGGCGGTGGACACCAGGTGAGCGTCCTCACAGGCTGCATGAAACCCAGCTGGTATCTGGGGAGGGTTTCCCACTAGTGGCAGGACGCTAGTTTTAAATCACTACATTATAATATCTATATATTATTAATATTAAGTTGAACAGTGCAAAACATATTTCCACATTTAACAGGGAGCTTTTCAAATACGTTTACATCCCACCTTTACAGGCACGGCAGCTCTGCCCCAACATGCCCCCCGTGATGGATGTGGATTTTCTTTGTTCTGATCACTTTGAATAAAAGCTGTTTGACGTGCAGGACGACCACATTCCTCTCGCTGCATATCAGGGACCGACCTGCTCTGCTGGTTAGAGACACTCTGAGGACGGAGACGCCCTGTTGTTCCTCCCTGTGCTGGCTGCCAGTCCCCGGTCTGTCTCTTTGGGTATCGCTGGTTTCCTGAAGCCCTCATGCACGTACATTTGCAAACGTAGCGTTCTCAGCGCCACAGCCGGCGTGCAGAGAGCGCTCGCTGTGACACTTTAGTTCACGCCGTATTTACATCAGGTGATCAGCGCCTTTCTCCTCCCACTACGCCGCACAGCGCGAGCATTTAAACGCGGCGTGAACGGACCTCCTTCTCTTTCTATCACGGATCAGAGAGAAGTCCATGTGTTATTTGCGTGGTGGGAGACGTGTGCGCTGTAGCAAAGCGTTGTGTACTTGTGCTGAGTGCAGACTGAGATATTCCCCCTGCTGATGCTGTGACTGTCTGAAATGATCCTGGTCTAACCATTGGAATGTGGCTGCAGCGATGGAATGTGGACGCTGAGTAGGAGATGCAATGTCACCTTTGATTTCTTCCAGTAACTGTAATGTTGCTGCTTCATCTGTAACGCGTCTTATCGGCCTCTGTGGCTCTGATGACTGCTGTCATTTCACCAGGAGCCAAATGGGAGGAAACCCGCATTCTGCTTTTACAAGGCCGATCATTCTCACCGCCGCTTTACCCGTCCCCGCCCATCGCTTTATGGGACACTCCCCCTTCCCCCTGACGCTCCCGTCAATGCATATTCATGACACGGAAAAGCACGATTAGCCTGTTTCAGTTTCCACCGTCTGCGCTTTCAGCTCCGTGCGGCTTGTTTGTAGAAACCTCGCTGTGCTGTAACGCACACGTTGCAGAACGAAAGTGTTCGTACACGAGACCCTCTGCCTCTTTGGTGCGCTGGGGGGGTCAGGGTTTGAACACAACGTATGATGCGTCATCATGCCGGTTTGCTTTTTCCTGTCTGACGATTGAACCTAATTTAGACTTGTAAGTTCTATGCTAATAACTGCTGTCTGTCCTGCGTTTACATTCTTTATGTGTTAGTTCTATAAAGATCCATATGTCAGTGCGTTCTGTCTGAGTTGATCTCAGACGGTTACCATGACGATCTGCGCTGTCAGGAAGTGAACCTCAGCGTCCCTCAAAGCATTCTCTGCTGTGGTTCAGAGTGCTGCTGTAGCAGCGTGCACAGAGACCCGATTCAGAGCAGCAACGGCCGCTTGCATGCATCTGATTGGCCGGTGTGGGCCGGGTGCTTGCATGCATCTGATTGGCCGGTGTGGGCCGGGTGCTTGCATGCATCTGATTGGCCGGTGTGGGCCGAGCCCTTTGTTACTGACGGGACTCGTATGAATGAGGAGGATTCTCACACTGGTCGTCCTCCAAACGACCCTTCGCTGTTTCATTGTGTTATTGGTGCACCTCATGTCACTGCTGTCCCACTACCCCCCTCCAGGTTGCAGTTATTTCCCCCACCCAAGCCAGCCTCCGTGCTTCCTTGACAGTAATTAAACAGCGAAAGCTTCCACCAAGGGTCACATTTACATCTTCCTCTAAGGCCTTTGATGGGGACCGCATTGAAAATATATGCAAGTCAGTTCCATGTGATTAATCTAACGCTATACAGTTGATACAGAATAATTTGATCG